GGAGGAGGATGACCCCTGGATGCCCCCACAAAGGACCCCCCGCGCTACCAGACGTTCCCGGATTGCGTGAACATCTAATCCCCCTCCCTCTCTCTCCCCTCCTCCTCCTCCTCCTCCTCCTCCTCCTCCTCCTCCTCCTCCCCCGACTAAGGGCACCTCGCCCAGTCCGTGAGAAAGCACGGGCAGGACCCCCCCCCCCCAGCGGCTTCTCTGATGGCCTGCCTCCTGGCGACAGCGAGGCCGCGGAAATGGCAGGCCACCCCTATACGGTGGAGGTTTTAAATAAGGATGCCTTCGATAAGGAACCCAGAGTCTCGCGACCGATGGGCGGCCAAACGAGGACCACCCACCTCGCCTTGAAACAAGAAGGAATGCGCCAAGGTCTGGGCCCTGGGAAGACGTTCCTAATCCAATGCCGCCGCCGTAATTCCCCTGCCTCTTCCGCGTCGCCTTCCTCCTCCCTCCTCTCCCGCGGGCGCTGCAGAGAAGCCCTGACCGGCCCCCCCCTCCCCCCCTCCTCGGCGCGGCTCCTTCCCAGCCTCCAGCACGGAGTTGACCGTGGAGCTGCTGGTGCAGTTGAAGGCGGGGATGGCGAACTTGTTCTCCTGCTCTCTCTGCCTCCTTTCTCCCCCCTCCAGGCTGCTCCTCCTCGCTGCGCCTTCGCGAACCTCCTCGTCATCCTCCACCCCCTCTTTCTTTTCCCCCCCCCTTCCTCCCTCTCCCCCCCTTATTCTGTCCCCTCATAACCTTCTCCTTGCCTCCCAGGCGGTCAGTCACTAAGCGTATCTGGGGGTCTCCACACGCCCCCCCGAGCCCTCCTCCCCCCAGGAAAAATCGGGAGGCCTCCGAGGCCAAGCACAAAATTCTACACATCCCCTGACTTACATATTTGAACATCCTCCTCCAATCCCCTTCTCCTGCTCCTCCTCCTCCTCATTATCCTCCTGCTCTTCCCCCTCCCTCTCCAGGAGTAGCCGAGTTTTGAGACGTCCACAGTTTTGAAAGAACACGCTGGAGGCACCGGAAGGCCACTCGAACTTCGCCCGTGTGGCCCCTCCAGTCTGGAGCTAGAGCCACAGGAGGTGCACCTGACGATTTGACATATGATAGTGCCACTCGGTAATGGCAGCATCGTGTCGCCGCCTTACCCTCAGGTCGGGCATGTCCCCCATACAGACGGATTTCGTGCGAAAGAAAAATGGCCAAACCAGATTCAAACATATTCAAACATAGTACAACAATCGTCACCATACTATTTTGAACTATTCTTGAATGTTCCTCCTGTAGAGGGACAGGCCCGACTTAAACCCTGCCCGGCGGGATCAGTGCGTCCTCCTGGAGGTGGAATCTCTTTGCACGCATGCAGAAAGGCGTTGCACATACATGCCCAGAAGTGCGCAAGAGGCGCCCGCCGAACGGTACGCCCGAGGCCCTGCTACCCGCCAACGGCCGCGGTGCTTGGTTATCGAGAAGAGGGAAGAGGCGTCAATTACTGAGAGGTGTGCGTATCCACGTGCAGAGATGTCAGCGGTGCGGGCAACAATTCTGAATTGATAGCTCGCATATCAATGCAATTGGCGGCAATCGTGGGGAGCATGACTATGCATACATTTATGTGTAAACACAGTGTATCTATAGATAAGTGTATAGACGGGCACATGTATATGTATATGTATATGCATATGAAGATGCACATGTATATGTATAGTTATGTGTATATGTAAACGTATTCGTATAGATATAAGGATGCATGCATGCTCCTCTGTGTGTGGGCACTCCGATGTTAATACCAATGCCAATTTGAATGCTTATGTATATTTTTAGGTACATGTACACATGTATCCGTACATGTTTGTGTATGCGTGTGTGTGTGTGCGTATGCGCATCTGTTTATGTATATGCATATGCATATGCATGCGTATGTGTGTATCTGTATGTATACACAAAGTTTTACCGGCTAGCTTCGCTTCGCCTTGACAATCTTGGTCGCATGGCGCCAGCGAGGCGCGCCACGACCTGTTGTCGCCAGCACCGCGGTGTGTTTCGGCAATTGGGCCCATGGAGTACACAGGGCTGACAGGACCCATGGGCTCCTCTGGGTCAGAGGTCTGAAGGGCTTTCCGCCGCCATTGGGGCCGAAAATCTCGGAGCGTGCGAATGTGGAAGAGGGGTACTTCGGGCAGCGCGGCTCCTGGTGATCATAAGGTTCCGAGAGCGCGCAGCCGTACTGGAGTTCAGAGGGTTCTTCGGGCTGATGAGCTTAGTGGGCGTGGAGGCTCGTAGGGTCCTTGGCCTCACAGAAGCCACTGGCTCTTGGGCCCCATAGAGCGGGTCGGCTCATAGGGTTTGTGAGGTTCATGGGGCTCCTGAGGGTGATTGTGCTAATCGGGCCTAGGAGGTTCATAAGGTTCAGAGCGGGTCATCGGGCTCATAGGGCCGACGGGGCTCATAGGGCCCATAGTTGAGGCTCTTAGGGGTCGCGCGGGCCGCGGGGCCAATGAGGCTGATCGGGCTCATAGGGCTCTTAGGCCTTATGAGGCCCACGAACGACATAGGGCTCAAAGCCCACTGGACCGTAGGGCTCATAGAGCTCGCCGGGCTCATTGGGGTCGTAGGGGTGAGATGGTTGAGAAGTGTCGTAGGGCTCATGAGCTGACGAGGATGATGGGACTCGTATGGGGTTAGAAGGCGTATGAGGTCGTGAGGAGCATAAGGTCGTACGGCGCATTGGGGTCGTGAGCGTACGTGTTGCAGAGGGCTCGTAGGGGGTCATAGAGCAGATGAGGCTGATGGGGCTCTGAGGGCTCGCAGCGTTGACAGGGGCCGTAGGGTTCGCAAGGCTCGAAGGGCTCGCACGGTCGTCGGGCGTACAGGTGTCGTAAGGGCTTCGGGGAGAGGCGTCTCGGGGCCTCTTGCGCGTGGGGATCGTGGGCCTCATAGGGCTCACAAGGATCGAACGGCTCATAGCGCCATCTGAACCCGTCTTGCGGGGCCTTGTGGGTAATTTCGCGGTCGTCTCAGGCCGTCTCGGGGCCTCCTTGAAAGCCTGTTGCGCCGCTCGAACTGTGTGAGGGCGCGAGATCGCGCGACCAGGGTTTAGGAGCGTCTTGGTGATTCGACTTAGCGTCCTCAACGGTTTTTCAATGATTTTAGCGTTCTCGCCTTTTCGGGCACCCGACGCTCCAAGACGGGTCCAAGAGACCCCCAAGATCGCCCCAAGAGGCCTGCAAGACGGCCCAAGAGGGCCGCAACACGGCCCAAGAGCCTCCAAGACGGCCCCACAGCGGGCCCCAAGACTGCCTTCGAAGGTCCAAAGGTCCCATAAAGGCCCCCGGAGGCCCCCAAGAGGCTCCCAAAATGCTCCGGGAGAACCCAGGTGGCCCCCAAGAGGTTCCCGGTCCCCAGGAAGCACCCAGGAGTCTACAAGAGGGCCTCAAAAGGCCTCGTCTTCTTCCTCCCCCTCCCTCTCCTCCTCCTGCAGACCTACCGCGACATCCAGAGGAGCTCAACGAGCATATCCAAAAAACAATAGTGGACGCAGCATCGGCGAGCAAAAAAGCACCCAACCGACTGCAACCACACCCCCAGACCCAGACGCACCTGTAAGAACTCATACAGACAAGACGAAGTACACCCAACCATGACACGCACGCGCGACAGCACACCAACACGCAAATCCGACAAGAGATCCGACGCAACAAACGGGCTACAAGACGAGCACATATTGGTAAAATCTTGGGCGAATGCCAAGGGCCGAAACGAATCACTGCGGTCAAATCGAGACGGAGGCGCACACTCATGACAGGAATGCGTGGCGCAGATGGAAACATGCAAACAGGCAGAGGGTCCATTGCAAACGTCTTCGCGGACTTCCACGAGCAGCTGTACCACTCCACTCGACCAGCCGCGTCACTGGACCACCACGGCGACACCATACCACAGTTTACACCGCAAGAACTAGACAAAGCACTATCCACCCTCAAGCGTGGCAAAGCACCAGACCAGAACGGAATCAGGGCGGAAATGTTGAAAAATGCGCCGCCGGAACTGAAGCAAGCTGTCCTGTTGCTCTACAACACCACTCTCCGACCAGATGCACCAACCCCACAAAGTTGGCAACAGACGGTCATCACAGTCATTCCCAAAACAGGCGACCTTACACAACCTAAGAACCACCGACCAATTTGCAGCATACCCACATTATACAAGCTCTTCAGCAAACTTCTGTACATCAGACTGCAGCCGCAGTTAGACAACCAGCAACCTCCTGACAAGGCAGGCTGCCGCCCTGGGCGATCCACGCAAGATCATTTCTTCACGTTCCACATTCTCCGGGAAAGAGCACGCGAGTGGAACCAGCCCCTTTGGATCGCAGCATTCGACTTCAAGAAAGCACTGGAGTACGAAAGTCTCTGGGCGGCACTTGAAAGCCAGGGCATCACAGCAGACTACATCCACCTGTTAAAGCGGCTCTACTCTGAGCAAACAGTGACAGTAGAAACAGACTCAGCCAGCCGCCCATGTCATCTGCTGAGAGGCACGAAACAGGGTGACCCGCTCAGCTCACTGCTCTTCAATTCGCTCCTTGAGTACATAATGAGACAGCTCGTCACCAAATGGCAACATTAAGACCTCCAACCTCCAACCTCCAGCATCCGACTCTCCACTCCAAGCTCGACCAATCGACCTCCAGCGTCCACCAGCTCAGCATTCCGACCACAAACGTCTAGCATCCGACTTGCGATCCACCTCCACCTATCGACCTCCAGCGTCCAACAGCCCCGCATTCCGACCTCCAGCATCTAGCATCCGACTCTCCACTCCCACCTCTATTTATCGACTTACGACGCCCACCAAATCAGCATTCCAACAACCAACCTTTAGCATCCGACTCTCGACTTCTACCTCCACCAATCGACCTCCACCCTCCACCAGCACAACATCCCAACCTCGAATTTCTAACCTCCGACTTCCCGCTTCCACCGCCAATCGACCTCCAGCTTATGTGCCTTCGGCTGCGCGTGTATCAGCGCCCTGAGTGGTATCTGAAGGATGTGACAGGATTGGAACTCCGAGGCATCCAACTCGTTCGTGTTTGGCTTGGGCTTCGCGGTTACAGAAAGGACGATGACATCCATGGGATTCTCCGACAGGTTCATGCCACACACACACTACGACCTCAACGAAACTACGTCACTACATCGGATTACAATAGAGGGGTGGGAACAATTGGAACATCAACATGTGAGGTACGCATTATCCTGAGCAAACCTCCGACGCGCGCTGCCTCTCATGCGAGGCCATGGCCTCACCCGCCTCGCCTTTGAAGGGCCCGGGCGCATGCCCGCACAGGCAATCCGATCCGATCCGATCCTCCTCCTCCTCCTCCTCCTTCTCCTCCTCCTCGTCCTCCTCCCCCCCCCTCCTCCTCCTCCTCCTCCTTCTCCTCTGTCCTCTGCTCTACAGTCTTCCCCCAAGGGGCTCCACAGCGGCCGGGGGAACACACAGTCCAACAGTTTTGCCAGGCTTCGGCCCAACGTTTGGCCGCAGGGGCGTTTCCAAAAGGCAGAGAGCGGCGTTGATTCGCCGTAGGCGTCGCTTATACAAACCTTCAGTCGGGCCTGTGCCCCTACAGGCAGATTTTGGAAGAAAAGTTTAAATAGTCAAACAATACCAGAAAATGACCCAACATACTGAAAACACCGTCCCCCGACTGTCTTTTAACTATTTTTGAATTTTCTTCCTGTAGAGGGACGTGCCCGACTGAATACAAACCCAGACGAGCAGAGTTCGGATGATGCCCCCGATGCTGCGCCGCCTGTCGCTTAGAAGCCCTGCCAGCAGCGCGCGCGGGGATATGATCGACGTTTGCCCGGGAGGCAGCATGCTGCGGGGCACCTGCGATGGTTCCCATTGAAGACCTGAGCTGGTCACCCTTGCAACTGTGATAGGCTTGATCCAGCGTTCCGGACTTCTTCTGGCACGGGGGCACCTGCGCCTGTCTGAAAATCAACCCCGATCTTTTCTTTTTGCTTTTTGCTCGCGACGTCCGGAAGCAGACATGCCTGTAAAGAAACATAGTGCAAGTGCTGTCACACCAACTGGCGGAGCACGTGCAGCAGGAACGATGAACGACGGAGCACTGAGAAGGGACGGAGAAAGGGGAGACGGTCCATACTGGTCAACGAGCAAACCATCTTTTGACATTGGCGCTCTTCAAATTTCCTGTCTGAAGATCGGCCCTGCTGTCGGAGGCATGTTATTGTGGGGAGCTTGGGACCCACTCACTCTCGACGTGGCGCAAGGGAAGCAGCCTGGATAGGCTTGCAGCGGCGTGCGTTGAACTCAAACAAGCACCCAGCTCGACTGGAATCTCCAGTATCTGGCTACTACTACCATGTCACCCTGCCAGGATCATGATTCATGATCTTCTGAATCTACCATAGGGCACCTGAGATGGGCCCGATCAGAATCTGGCCAACTTTGCAGTTGTAAGCGACTTGGCCATATCCGCTGGAACATAGGGCACTTGCGATGGACCCGAACAAAATCTGGCCAACCTTGCAGTTGTAAGCACGTTGACTATAAAGCGCAGCCGCCTGGCCTGTAAATCCCTATATCGTGCATTACGAAATGGACGCGGATTCCAGACAGACAGGCAGCAATCCCAACTTCCTCGTCATTGTCTTCCATCTCCTCCTCCTCCCCTCCTCCTCCTCCTCCTCCTTTTCCTCCTCGTCCTCGTCCTTCTCCTCCTCCTCCTCCTCCTCCTCCCCCTCTTCCTCCTCCCTGAAGAAGGAAGCGTGGCACGTTGAGGTCGATGGAGCGCCCCAATCGGGCGACGTCCTCGTGCCCTGCCATGCTTCATGCGGGCCGCTGCCCGGGAGCCCTGCCAGCCGCCCGGGAGAGGCTGGCAGAGCTGGAGGCTGCGCATGCTCCGCTGGCTTAAACATCACGCCACTGCGGCAGAAGGCCCCCGAACAGCTCTGCACAGTTGCAATGGGGAGCCACGACGGGGTGCCACGAGCGGGGGGTCACGAGCGGGGGACCGGGACAGGGATAGGGATACAGTCGGGGCGTTGACCTAAGGAACCCTAAATAAGGAACGAGGCCCCTTTTCCCCATGAGTTAAACTTCGATTTCCCATCGAAACCCCAAGCAAAGCCAAAGGCGAACTGCAGAACAATCAAGGACCACCGAGCCCCTCCCCAACGAAACGGGTTCCTTCCTCAGCGCCCCGACTGTACAGGTCTGAAGGTACTGGGACAAGGATCAGTATGGGGATCGCGAGTGAGAATGAGGACAAAACAACGAAGGACAGAATCAGGGGATTCGGGATGCGGGCAGGGGGTACACAGCGGGAGACCACCGGGGGGCACCGTCGCCCGACCGACTCCAGCTCTGGCAACGCGCCTTCGAGTTACTCGGTAAAACACACACACACAACCACACACACAATCACACACACAATCACACACCATCACACACCATCACACACAA